GGTTCCACGCTCCATCCTGAAGGATAATCCCAGCAAAACTCAGCACGGGCTCCCTCTTTCAGAATATCTGATTTTAGTGACGTCTCACGAGTCCCCTGACACATCATTCCCTAAAACCTTGGGCTCATTCTAATCTTTCCCCATCCTTGCTTTTTAAAAAGAAATCCCAAAAACCTGGCTGAGTATTTCCAGCTCCCAGATGTTCATTGAAAGAATCACCTCCAAGAAAAGTCCAAGCTGTCCCAGAGCTTCCAGCCACAATCTCACCTGGGGCTTTTTTGGGGCTCCCTGGCAGGCTCAGGTGTTTGAAAAAATGCTCCTAAAATCGAGATTGGCATTAAAACCCTCAGATGCTCTGTGTGATGTTTTGGGAAGGGACACACAGGACTCTGCATCACCTGGGATTTAAAACCAGGCATCAGTGACACTACAAACATTGCACTTTGGATGTTCCAACAACATTACAGCACTCTGTAATATTAATTAGCCAGCAGCTTGGTTAATTCAGGGCTTGGCAATTCCCCAGAAAGGTTTCAGACACAGCTCTGTGTCCGTTTCAGTGCTTCCAAACCTCATGCTGCAGTTCTTCAATATATTTGAAGATATTTTCAAGGTGTTCCAGCCCAAATGATTTATTTTCCCACAGGTTTCTCCCACTGGCAGAGATTTAAGGGTGGCAGAATCAGCCCAAGCTGCAGATTTATTTATTTATTATTTTTTTAGCATGGGCAGTTTTTGTCCTCTGCGTTCACACTTGGGGGAGTTTGAAATTCTGGAGCTGGTTGGGTTCTTCCTCTGCACTGCCCTGGAGGAGATTAAAGAAGACTTAAAATAATTGTTAAAAGTGACACCTTGAAAAGAAAAATGTGGGGTTTTTTGAGTGTTTCTCGCTGGTTGGAAAAGTATTTTTTTCTCTCCAGTGGTGGGGTGGGAGAAGAAGACAGGAAGAAAGGACAGGCAGACAGCAATGAGCACCTGCACAGTTTCTCTGGGCAGAAATCATAAATCATCTTATTAATGCTGTCCATGAATTCTGAGCAGCATCTCGTGTCTGTTCCGGGCTGTTAATTGCCTGTGCAGCCTGGCTGGGAGCAGTGGGCATTTCAAATGAAATAAATCCTGCTAATTATTATTGCTCTCAGCTTCGTGCAGGAGATGCTGAGAGCTCCCTGCTCTGCTCAGGGGAAGGTTTATTGCTTTCTCCAGGATGGGACCAACCTGAAGAAGGATCAGGAATGCTGTGGGGAGGGAGAGGGGTGGTAAAGCCAGGGTTACCCCTAAAGCTCAGCTTTGGTGTTGGGGATGAGCTGCAGCTCTGCTCTGGAGCAGGAGCCTGGTCCAGGATCAACATTTGGGGAGACTGGCCCAGGATCAACATTTGGGGTGTCCCCTGTGGGGTTGGGGAGTAGGGGGAGAAGCCAACCATGGAATGGGAGGGATGGGAAAGGAATTGTCAAAGGAGAGTTCCAGTATGAGCAGAGGGATGGGGCAGCTCTGCTGGCAGAGCTGGGGTTGTTCACCTGGACAGGAGGAGCTTCGGGGTGACAACTGGGACCTTCCTGAGGGAGCTGCAGGAAGGATGGAGAGAGAGGATTTCCAAGGGACGGAGGGACAGGATACTGGGAATGGCTTCACAGTGCCAGAAAGGAGATTTAGATGGGATTTGGGGAAGGAATTGTTCCCTGTGAGGGTGGGCAGGTCCTGGCACAGCTGAGGCTGCCCCTGGATCCCTGGCAGTGCCCCCTGGCACAGTGCAAGGTGTCCCTGCCATGGCAGGAGATGCAGTGAGAAGAGCTTTAAGCCCCTTTCCATCCCAAACCCCTCCATGGCTCCCTGGCAGCAGCTCTGGAGCCTGGCTGGTGTCCGTGGCTCTCCAGCCCATCCCAAAGCAGCAGCAGCAGCAGCTGAGGCTCCACGGCAGGAAGCAGCAGAATTCTGGCATTTCCTGACGCTGGGAGAAGCAGGAGGTCCCGTTCATCGTCTGGATGTGAGCAGGGCTCGCTGCTCCACGTGCTCCTCCCAGGCAGGAAATCAGGATTTGGTCTGTCCTGAACAGAGCATCCCCACCTGCTGCAGGAACTGGGGGACATCACCTCACCTGCTCCTCCTGTCTGCTGCCAGGTCCCTGGGTCACTGTTTTTAATAAAAATACAATTAATAATAAGATAATTCTCCTCTTTACCCAGAGTCTCCTCTGCAGTTATTTGCTGGAGGTGGCTGTACCTCAGCCCTGGCAGGTACCAAACCCCTCCTCATCCTCTGGGCAGCTCTGAGCCCTCCCAGCATCTCCTGAAATGAGGAAATGCAAAAATCACCAAATCCTGTTGGTGCTGCCTGGTTCAAAGGCTGGGGAGGCTCCTCCCAGCACTGCCCAGTCCAGATGTTGTGCATCACCCCAACATCTGCAGCTCCTCTCCAGGGAGGCGCTCGGGGAGCTGGGAGTGCTTGGGATGAGCCCCAGGCCATCAGCTGGAACTGATTCCTCCCGAATCCAAGAGGCTCTTTAAGGTGCCCTCCAACCCACAGCATCCTGTGATTTTATAGAAAGGCTGCATAATTTATAGTTATCTTTAATTTATCCATATTCCCCCTTTTTTTTAGGGAAGATGGCTAAATTAAAGAAAATTATAAATTATTTATATTTTATAAGTATATAGAATATTATTATATTCTATATTTATATAGATATATATTCTATATTTATATATTCTATAATTATATATATATTATTATATAATAATTTATAATGATATATAATTATAATTATTTATTTATTATTGAAAATTAAATTTATTTTTCTTTATTTTACTATTATGCGTCAATTAAATTAAATTTTCTTTAATTTACCCATATTCCCTTAAAAAAAGGAATATGGATAAATTAAAGAAAAATATAAATTTTCTTCACAAGAAAATTGTAAAGGTGCAAAGCCTTTGCACTTCGTGTTTTATAAATATCTATTAGAAAAAGCAATGTTGCTAAATTAAAGACACTATATGAACAAACTCCCATATAAAAGGAATAAAAATTATGTATTTTTCCATCTGTAAAGGGGAAATTTCCAGGAAAATCACACCCTTGTTTGTTTGAAACTCAGATCCCAAATTCTACAGTGAAATTAGCTTTATTTCTTGAATTTTATTTAAAAAAATGGAACTATTTAGCTGTGCCCTACAAAGAATGATTCCTACTCCTCTGATACCTCTGGTAGTTAATCAAGACTATAAAAGTGTTGACCTGAATTAAGACAAAGTGTCAGGGAATGTAATTACAGGACAATTACCCAGATCCATTATTTTTGTTCAGCAAGGAGCTGATCCCCAGAGCCGGGCACATCTCCAGGCCCTGCATTCTCCACGGATTTCACACCTTGTCTGCGAGATAAAACATTGTCACACACCCAAATTCACATTAAAACCTGTCCCTTAGGGCTACCAGAGGTAATGGAGAAATTGGAGAATTGCAGCTCCCAGCCAAAAGCCCCACTGAGGAAATTTCAGGAGGAAAAAGAACACTGAGTGTATTTCTGAAGGTGTGGCAGGGCCAGGATTATTCTTATTTTTTAAATGCAGGGGGAAAAAAATAATTTTGTTTTGTTTTGTTATAAACACAGGAAATTTGCACAGTGTTTCCACTGAAAATTCAGGGTGGTTTGCTCTCAGCAGTAAAAGATCTTGCCCAGGATAAGAAATAATTTATCAACCTGTGAGGTGTTAATAAAGCACCAGATCAAAACCCATAAAGCACTTTGGAAGTTACCTGGTGCTCAAAGCAGGATAAAATTGGAATTCTGGAATTCTTCCCTGAGCAGTGAGGAGGAAAATATTAAAAAATGTGTTTGACACCTATATTTGATTCTAAAAGTGTTCCTGGAAGTTAGAGGGGAAAGGAAGAGCCAATCCCTGGAATCCCAAAGCAGCAGCAGATCCCAGGAACAGGAACCCCAATCCCTGGCACAGACATATTTTATAAAAAATCCTTTTGTTGGGATCTTTTCTCCTGAGAAGCTGAGAGGCCTCAGAAATGAAACATAAACAATAATTATCTGCTGCTGTGGAATGCAACAGGTGCATCTGTGATTGGTCTCAATCACAGATGTTTTTAATTAATGGCCAATTACAGCCCAGCTGTCTCAGACTCTCTGATCAGTCACAAGATTTTATTATCACTCCTTTCTACTCCTTCTGATGAAATCCTTTCATCTATTCTTTTAGTACAGTTTTAATATATAACTTTCTTTTAATATAATATATATAATAAAACAATAAATCAGCCTTCTGAGACATGAAGTCAGCTCTTATCTCTCCCTTCATCCTGAAACCCCTGCAAACACCACCCCAAACCCCACACACAAACACACAGCAGGGCTCTTACCATAAAAATGAAGGTATTTATTCAAGAAGTACAAATTTGATGGTACCAGCCATCTTTGAAAGCCATTCCCATGAGGCAGAGAGGACTCAGAGCCCAGTCCTTGCTCAGAGCACACGGGAGCAAAGTGTCACCAAGCGCCACCAGGTGTCACCAAGTGCCACCAGCGCAGTCCTGGCCGCCGCTGCTCAAATCCACCTCTTTTGAAACATTCCCTGGACTTGAGAGGCACAAATAGGGGTTTTAAGCCAAGACCAGTTTGTTGTTTTCATAAAGCCACCAGCTCCAGTTCCTTTTGTTTTCCATTGCCTTGAGTTGTCCCCAGCCTTCGGAGCAGGTTCCGATTTCCTGACGGAAACAAAAAAGGGACCTGGGAGTGAGCAGGTGCAGGAATTTCTGGAGCTCAGGATGAACGAGAGGTTTTAAGGCAGGAGTCAGGATCTGAAGTTGTCTCTTTGCCCCATGGCTCTGGCTGAGTGGTCTTCATGTGGAAAATGTACAAATCCAGAGTTCCCCTGGACCCACCCCTGCTCCGAGGGTCGGGACAAATTTTCCATGGAAAATCCAGCAGACACGTTGGGTTAAAGTCTCAAAGTCCACTTTAAGGAGCCTTTTGGTTAAAATATCTCATTTTCCAGCTGCCTGCCTGCTGTAGGCTCAGTGAAGGAGAGCTCCAAGTCCATCCCCATGGGTGGGATTGGGAGAGGAGAGGCACCCACAGCAATCCCAAACCACTCCTGGGAAGGGAAATCCTGGAGCAGATTTGTGCATCCAAACCACCACAAGTGTTTGTGGCTGCAGAGGGAACAGCAGGACATTCATCATCTGGGGAGGAAACACAAATGTGGATGCTGGGAATTCCATCCCCGAGGCTTCCCAGGGAATCTGCAAGGCAGCCTCACATCCAGGGGGTTTGGAGCTGGGTTTGCTGCTTTCCAAAGCTCATCCCCACAGCCAAGGCAGGGGTTGTTAAAAACACCTTTCTCAAGCACCTCTAATCCCACTCCAGAAAAGTCCCAGCAGTCCCAGAGCTTCCAGCCACAATCCAGGAGGGATTTGATTACAGGGAAGGGCAAAAAAAAAAAAAAAAATTAAAAAAAAGCCCCTTTTTCTAACAGAGACTACTTTCATTTCAAAGTAACAGGATCTGAGCAGCACAGGGAAAAAGCCAAAAAAAAAAGAAAAATTCCTTTTTTTTTTTTTAAATGTAAACATTCTCTCCATAAGGTGCAGGGTCTCAGATGTCTGTACAGGAACATGGAAAAGTTTGGAAAAGAGAGAGCTCCAGAGCCAGAAATGCCCCTTCCATTTCTGAAGCATCACAGACATGGAGAAACGTTCAGCATTCACTTTGTCAACACCTACACAGCAAAAATGCTTCCAGAACTCCATGGCTAAAAGCATCCCACCATTGTAACAAAGAGTATTTTTGTAGTTTTAATACTTTCCAAGAAAAAAAAAAAAAGATTTTACATTATTTACTAGCAATGGATATATATGCAGAAGCACATCACACTACAGCAATATTTTATCAAGTTATCATTGACCTTCACCAAACATTATGCACAGTTGCTCCAAAGATTCCCTCTTTCCTTCCCAAACTTTCTGTGGAAGGCAAAGAAAAGCTGGGCTTGGTTTGGTTGCTCCTGGGCTGAGGTTTTTTTTGGTGTTGTTACACCCCAAAATTAAGGTGTCTATTAAAAACCCAACTTACCACACCACCAATTCATTTTCCAAACTCCTCCCCAGCTCCAGAGAAGCAAAACTTTCAGAAAATGGATCCCAAGCTGTGTTTGGTGTGGGGAACCCCAAAAACACATTTGGGGGGCTCTGAAGGAGCAGCTGTCACTGGGGTGGGGAAGAAGACCCTGAGCATCCTTCTGCAGTGCCCCAGATGGAGCTGCAGCACACCTGGGGCTTTTTGGGGCTCCCTGGCCCGGCAGGCTCAGGGGTTTGTGCCTCTCAGGAGTGTGACTTTCACTGGGTCCTCACTTCTGGCTCAGGCAGAAGTGACAAGAAAGAGTAGAAAAATCGGAGCTGTGTCAAAAAAGGCTCTCCTGGCATCAGCTCCCAGCCAGAGCTGAGCAGGAATGGCACAGAGGGCTGAGAGGGGGGGAATTTAAAAATCCCAAATTGACTCCTCCTCGCTTGTGTCGTGTGCGTTAAAATTCTGTCACAGCATTTACACCCCAGGGCCTGAGGGTGGGGACAGCACCCAGGGGCCAAACCCAGCCAGGACACGCTGCCAGCACCCTCCTGCTGCAATCCAGGGGCTCNAAAGGCAGGGGGCTCTGGCACCAAAACCATCCCCAGGAAAAAGGCAGGGGGGCTCAGGCCATACCCCAGCAGCCAGAGGAGCCCCTGCCAGCCAGGAGCTGTCCATGCCCACACGGGCATCCCTTCCTGGGGGCATTAACAGGGCAGGGAATGCTCGGTTTGCAGGGCTGAGAGGAGATGCAGGGGCTCCTGCACTGCTGGTTCCACCCTGAGCATCTTCCCTGAGAGCCCCAGGGGTTGCCACTGCCACTTGTGCCTCCAACGATGCCAGCTCTGGAGTGGCAGCACAGATCCTCTGGTTTATGGGTGTTATCTTAGGTGTTTCTCCAGGAGAATAACTCTGCTTTTTTCTTTTCTTTTCTGAAGTGGCAACACAGATCCTCAGGGTTTATAAGTGGTATTTTAGGTGTCTTTCCAGGAATGTAACTCTGCTTTTTTCTTTTCTGAAGTGGCAGCACAGATCCTCGGGGTTTACAAGCAGTATTTTAGGTGTCTTTCCAGGAAAGTAACTCTGTTTTTCTTCTAAGGTAGCTTGGGAAGGGTCTGAGTGAGGAACTTTTACAGACCCCAACTCTGGGTGGGCTGGAGCCTTCCCAGGCTGGCACCCACTGACCACAGCATCCACTGGATTTAGGAACATCCATTTAACAAGCTTTGGATGAGGTGGTGGCAAAGCTTGGTCACCTTTGGGCTGCCACCCTGTCCTCAGTGCACCCCTGGCCTTGCCAAGGCCACGGCATTCACAGAATAGGAGCTAGAAAGGAACATTTCCTCCCCACCCCCTCCTATTTTTCAGCTTCATTGCCCTCTGTTCAACTGGTTCCTCATGCAGGCAGATCCTCTTTTGCTGCAGAAAGACTTTCTATAAAAACAGGGAAATCCCAGGCCCAGTTTCTGCTGGCCGCAGGTTTTTTAGGTCTGCCGCGTAGGATCCAGACTCCGCTATAAATTTCATTCTTTTTAATTAATGAGTATTTAAATGCAGCCTGTCCTACTTTTGGAAACACTGTGAGAAGCCAGCTCAGCTTTGTGTGAGCTCCAGACAGGATCCCACAGGGCAGGAATACCCCAAATCCCCGAGCCCTGCTCACACCCAGCCTCATAAACCCAAATCCTCCCAAAGCCAGCCTGTGTTTCCATCTCTCCACACCTCAGCCTGTGCCAGGTCTGAGTGCCCAGAGAACAAAGCCCTGCTCAGCCCTTTCCAAGGGGACACAGCAGATGGCACACGGGGCAGGATGCAGCTCAGGATTCCGTCACCTCCCCACGCTTCCGGGCGTGGAAAAGGGCTGGAAAATGGGCAGGAACTCACTCCAACATCCTGGAAACCTCGGGGCCCTGCAGACACACAGCCTCGCTCCAGGCAGTGCCTTTAGTGGGAAAATTAAATTGATTTTAGGGTCTAGAGAATGATTCAAGGTGTTCACTGAATTTTGGGTGCCTCCGCTGTCCTGGAGCATGAGTGGGTTATTCAGCTGCTGGGGTTTTGGTGGGTTATTCTGCAATTTTTGGTGGGTTATTCTGCAAATTTTGGTGGGTTATTCAGCTGATTTTTTGGCATCTGAGCAGCACAGGAGAGCAAACCCTTTCTTTCACATCCCACCTTACACTCAGCCCCACCCCAGATATAAAAAAAACAAAAGGAGACAACAACAAAAAAACTTTAGGTGAAGGGAAAATGTGTCTCTGGTTATTAATCCTAAAATAAGGATTCATAAGGATTGTTAATCATCATAAAATAAGGATTTATGATCCTAAAATAAGGTTTATAGCACAGCACCCCCAAATAATTTGGGGTTTTTAAATGAACAAACTCTTGGATGAGAATTCAAAATCCAGCCACGACCTTTTGCCAGATGGAATGGAGAACAGGTGGAGAAGACATCAAAGCAATGGAGAAGTGAAATGTTGCTAAATACAATAAAGTGACCCTTTGATTTCTGGCACGATGTTAAACCTCACCCTGCCTTACAGGGTTAAAACTCCACAAAAGCAAAAATTTGCCTGAATATTCCAGAAGGTTTACAACTTCTGGTTGTAAACACACGGTGTCCACTGGGACATTTTCATTCTCATTTGTGTCAAAATGGGGATGAAAAGAGCTGGGGATGAGCTGTTATTGCCTGACAGGCTGACATTCTTTACCTCCAGTAATAAAGTCACTCTGACAATGCTTTTCTTGTGAGGTTGGGGTTAATAACTGAGGCATTCAGGCTAAAAACCAAACCAGCCACCTCTAAAGCAGCTTCATTCTCTAAGTCACCTACTTTGGGTACATTATACATGTTTTAAATAGAAAGCATTTAAATAATTATTTAAATTTTCCTGTCTCTCAGAGGCCACTGAAGTTATTTTACACTGTTTACCTGGTTCCTGTCACTGTTTGAGAAACTTGAGCAAATAAAAGCACGGAATCATCCACGAGTGAGTGTTGCTACACACAAATGTGTCTCCAATGCACCTCACAGAGCAGAATGGCAACAGAATTTCTACTGATGCTGCTTTCAGAAGGATAAATGGAGAAGGGATTTAAATATCATTTTTAGGAATTGTGATTTTTTAGAAGATAGGATCCTTCACTAAAAATGGGTATTTAGCACTCAGTTTCTTGGAGTTTCTGTCAAATACCGTGACAGAGATGAGAAATAAACACCAAATCCCCCCGTCCTGACCCGCAGTCACCTTGCCTCCCTTCCTGGCCTGTTTATTTCTCATTTTTTCCAAAGGCAATACGTTCTCAGGTGATCTAACGAGGCCACCCAGCCCCGGCTGCCCGAGAGGCGATTCCCATTGCCACCTCCTGTCACACAGGTGTGTCCAGGGTCCTGCGGGTCCCGGGGCTGCTCCTGCACCCCAAACCCATCCCCTGGCAGGACACAGCAGGGACAGCGCTGCTTTGGAGAGCAAAGTCCGGGGGATCTTTGCTCCTGCAAACCCCCGTCCTCCCTAAAGCCGGGGTTAAACATTCACAGCACGGAGCAGGCTCCTCTCGGGCCTCCCGAGCTTTTGCTGCCGGCAGCAGCGGCCGGGATACAAATCCCCTGTCAGCCCCGGGGGCTCGGAAAGCTTGGAGACAGCGCTGGAAGCGCCGACTTCCAAGAAACCTCCCTCCCTCTCTCCATTCATTGCACCGGCGGGCTTGGCAGGGAGCGCCGGGGGCTGCTCGCAAAAGCATCGCTCGGAAAANCCAGCCAGGACACGCTGCCAGCACCCTCCTGCTGCAATCCAGGGGCTCTCCATCCCCTCCTGGGGTTCTCCATCCCCTCCTGGGATTTTCCATCCTCTCTTGGGGTTCTCCATCCTCTCCTGGGATTCTAAATCCTCACCAGGGGCTCTCCATCCTCTCCTGGGGTTCTCAATCCTCTCTTGGGATTCTAAATCCTCTCCTGAGGTTCTCCATCCTTTCCTGGGATTCTAAATCCTCTCCTGGGGCTCTCCATCCTCTCCTGGGATTCTCAATCCTCTCCTGGGGTTCTCCACCCTCTCCTGGGGTTCTCAATCCTCTCCAGGGGCTCTCCATCCTTTCCTGGGATTCTCCATCCCCTCCTGGGAGTCTCAATCCTCTCCTGAGATTTTCAATCCTTTCCTGGGATTCTAAATCCTCTCCTGGGATTCTAAATCCTCTCCTGGGGTTCTCAATCCTCTCCTGGGGTTCTCAATCCTCTCCTGGGGTTCTCCATCCCTTCCTGGGATTCTCAATCCTCTCCTGAGATTTTCAATCCTCTCCTGGGATTCTAAATCCTCTCCTGGGATTCTAAATCCTCTCCTGGGATTCTAAATCCTCTCCAGGGACTCTCCATCCTTTCCTGGGATTCTAAATCCTCTCCTGGGGTTCTCAATCATCTCCTGAGGTTCTCCATCCTCTCCTGGGATTCTCAATCCTCTCCTGAGATTTTCAATCCTCTCCTGGGATTCTAAATCCTCTCCTGGGATTCTCCATCCCCTCCTGGGATTCTCAATCCTCTCCTGGTGCTCTCCATCCCCTCCTGAGATTCTCAATCCTCCCCTGGGATTCTCCATCCCCTCCTGGTGCTCTCCATCCTCTCCAGGAGTTCTCCATCCCCTCCTGGGATTCTCCATCCCCTCCTGGGATTCTCCATCCTCTCCCCAGCAGCCCCCACAGCAGAGCCCCTGCTCAGTGCCACTTCAGCCACTCAAATAAATTTCCCCCTCTGCACCAAAACTCACCCCACACTCTCAGCCTTCCCCCCTGCACTGGAATCTGCACCAAAACCCAACTTTTAGGGCAAACTCAATCATTTGAGACACAAATGTTCTCTGTTGTGTCGCAATTTCCAGTTCTATCCGTGGCCCTGTCAGCCATGTGCCTTTAGAGCTTGTTGCTGATATTTTTAACAGGTATTTTGAGATTTTAAAGTTCTTTCCTAATAGAAATCCTGTGTTTCTGGAGGGTGTGTGCTCAGTAGTGCTGCCACTTTATACAGAGAGGGTCAAACTCTTCACTGTCACCTCTAAAAGCGTTTCACCATTGAATTCTTTCAGGTTTTGATATGTGATTAAGGAGGGGGAGGCTGTTAAAGAGAATTTTCATGAACAAAATCTCTGTTCTACTCAGAACCCACTCACAACACAGCCTTCAGAGCATCACCTTTCCTCCCTGCCATAAAAGCAATGAATATAAACCATGATCCTGTGGAACAGCAACACAAACTGAGCCTTTCCCAGCTCACAGGGGGCAAGGAAGGAGCAATCCCAGCCCCAACAGCTCAAAACCAGCACCTGGTGACAAACTGCCTGAATGAAAATAGAAAAAAATAATATTAAAAAAGGATCGTAGAAAAATAAAAAAAAAAAAGTGGTGTTTTAGTGTTCACAGCTCCAGGTTTGCTCCTCCTTAATCCATCAGAATTTTCCCCCTTTTCCAGAGGGGCTGCAGGGAAATGACACCACAAAGAGCATTTATCCAGACATATAAATTATGCCTTATAAGACATGTAGTGTCTTCCTGGCATGAGCCCATCCTTTGCCCAGA